CACGATCATGCTGTCATATCCGAAGGCGTTTGAAATCGAGGAAAACTTTCACAACTGGTCAACTTCTCCATCCAGGTCAGGAAGCCAAGCGCTTCTGAAATGCGATCCTTCCATGACGAAAAGTCAATGGTCGGCAAACTGAGCAACCACTTGTCTGATCGTGCAAACACATCCCTTTCACCATCTTTCTCCACAGGTGGAGGCCTAGGTGGGGGACTTGGGGTCGCTACCCGGAACACTTGGGTCCCCTGCACTGAGGCACCCGTTGGTGATGCATCCATACATCCCGAAGACGCACTGGGCGTGTTCTCCTCAGGACGGATTTGAGGTGGAAGGGGAATATCCATCCGCTGCTGCTGATGCTGCACCATCCATTGATGCTGTTGCTGTTGTTGCTGAACCAGGGACGATGTCATCGTCTGCGTGAACTGTTGTTGCTGAAGCACAAGCTGTTGCATCATGCCTTCCAAGGCATGCACCTGCTTCGACAGCTCTTGAACCTCGGGTGGTGAAGGCAACGTCACCCCCACAGGTTGGGATGTCATCGTAGGCAATCCAGGAGGTGGCGACGGGTTTCCCATCTTTTGCTGGGCTATTCCATGGGCAGCAACTTCAGGGGTTCTTGCCAGAGCTCGACCTCATATCCAGGTTGGTTCACTTGAGCCATGCCTGGTCTCCAAAGTGGGTTGGCCTGCCCCAAACCCGGAAAAGGGTCCACCCTTCGCCTTGTCTCCGCATTCATGACAGGCAACGAGCTTCCACGTTCACGTCCACCTCTTGGACTCCTCGTGTGAGCTTCACTAACTTCTCGTGGGGGCGTGTTCAACATCGCTCCACAGACTCAGGCTTCACCCTGCAGTCTTCCCACAACTTCTTCTGGCAAAGGTTCTCTCACCAGCACCAGATGGTCCAGACCTCTGAAGAACCTTAGTTCCACTCTTCCAAGCACCGTGTTCCTCCAAGATCGGTCACAACCAATCCAGTTCCAGACAAACCTTGCCCGGCTTCCACAGTGCCTTACAAGCCTTTGAACCAACTGTTTCCAAGCCTTAACAGTCCGGATCCGCCTTCTCACAGGGTAGGCTTCTCTGAACTCACTCACACGGTCTGAGTACACAAGGTTCCGGTTCACAGGGAGTCTGGGGGTCAAACCCAAACTTGCCTTTAGGCACTCACAGAGTCCTGACAGCCAACCAAGGACCATACACGGGCTCGCACCACAAGGCACAAGCTCCGCTACCACGTGAAAAACCGAAGGTCCCTCTGGTACCTGTTCCCTTGAAAGCACGAACCCAAAACTATCTCAACCAAGTGCGGGCTTTTTCACTCGCAGGCCTTGAGCCAAAAGTCACGAAGTGCGCAAACTAAACGAATTCACATGTGAGCTTAAACTCAGCTTCAGAACAAAGTTCCTACACACTGCATACTCACTCAAAGTAGCGTATTGGGCAAAAACATACTCGTATGATTTCCTAGGGAAATCATCGAGGCAAAAACCATCGAGGATGGGATCATAAAGATTCCCAATCACTCCGAAGCAAAACAACTCTCTACAAGCTGATTCAAAACATGACAAAACCGTCAATGATCAGCCACGATCTTCCACTCTTCTGCTCGCTTTCATGCTTCTCTCGCTTGCGTACTATGCGATGGCGAAGATGTCGTCAAGAACCAACAAGGCCACGTCTGTGTATGCAACAACATCAGCTGTACTATTCTATTTCCGCCTCATTCTTCCCATCGGCTGTTTGTTGGCTCGCGCTGTGCCACTTTGTGTCAAAGACTCTGCCATTGAAGTTTCGGTGGACGACCCACAAGACCAGGAATATAGTGGGCAAGGTGCTTCAAACCGGTTTCGAGACAATGAGCGCGATTTCCCTGGTGCCTTTGACGTGCTATCGCCACCCGAATGGAACCTACTCCGTGCTGCAGTACCCGGGTGTCTTCTGCGGCTCTGGTGAGCATGCAGCCGGGCACCCAGTGTTGCTGCAACCATGGCTTGGCCCTGAACCCTAAACCCCAAAGCCCAAAAACCCTATAGACCCTTAAGCCCACAGTCCGCTTCAAGACCCCAAACGGCACAAGATATCTTGTGACTCCCAGTTCCGTCTTCCCCAGTTGGCGCACTTGTCTCTCTAGGGTTTAGGGCAGTCTTGTCGCTGAGCCTACGAGCCCGACCAGCAAGCGCGCCACTTTTTGTTGCATCGTCTGTGCGTTTTTGCGTTGTCGGTGTTTTTTGCTTAAATCCTGAGTAAATGGTTCCGTGTCGCCGTGTCAGCAGCACCCTCCCCCTCTCACCTGAATCCAAAACTTGCGCAAGGCATGTATGCTGTTGACTCCAAAACCCGAAAAAACCTGCAAGCCCAAACAAACCCTTAAAACCCTTTCAGCTCTCAAAGCCCTACGCAAAGCCCACAACACCTTAAAACTCTCAACTCTAACATCCTCAAACCCAAAAAATTCTTGACCCAAAGTCCCACTCTAAATCCCGGTGGGGCCGGGGGGATACCTTTGGAGGGGAAACTGCACCATAAACATTCGCGGGAATTGGTCGAAGCTGCCGCTGTGGAGATCCTCTTTTAATCTCCAAAGGGTTAGGGTTTGGGGTTTCAGGTTTGGGTTTCAGGTTTGGAGTTTTGGGTTTGGGGCTTAGGGCAACTCTAAACCCTCGAACCTAAAACTTTTTTTCTGAGCTGGCGACCTGGTCTGCTTCGAATCAAAGGGTGTGTAAGCATTGTTTGCAGGACTGAGAGACCTTTGTTGGCCAGAACTTCGTGCCCATCTCGTTTGATCAGCTTTCCACACATCTCTTCCGGTTTCCCACGTGTTCTAATCTTAACAACGACGGGCTAGAACATTCGGAAGGCCTTTGCAGCGTGCTTGTACTCGTTTGCAATTTCAGGTGCCTTTCTTCCAAGAGGAAACCCTTTGCAAAACGTTCCAGCGGTAGGCACTCTAGGGTCAATCCTCAGCTGTTATATCTTTGAGGTCCTTGAAGAGGGCCGCGGCAGAGCTTTTGATATGTTCTTTTAGAAGGTGGTTTCGTGCATTTTGGCGAAAATAGGACCTGTAACAGGCTTAGCCTGAGGACCGGGCGTATGCCCAGTCGCAGAGTATCAAGAGATCTAAGTGCTGCCAAAGATCCCTTCTGCTTCATGCGTGACCGAGAGAGGAGGTTCAATGAGATTCGTACGAGGCACGATGAATGCTGAGCGGCTTGCAGCCTTCCTGGTAACCTGCGTGGCTACTTCATGCATGTCTCAAGATTCGGCTGGGGGTTGAAATGCGGAACCCACTTGGAGGCGGGAGGGGTGGGAAGTTTTCAAGTGAGTCCATGACTTCGGAAGCTTTGGCACATCCGGCCTTCTCGAGACTTCGAAGGGCTTGAACGATTTATGCGCGCTTGCCCTTACGAAGCACACTCAACCCACCATGACCACAAACCGACCTCACTCTGAAGAAACTAGAGCTCCCATTCTTGTCAGTCTCGGGCACACTCATGGCTACGTAAATCCATGTCTCAGAAACGTGCTCGGTCCTTAGCACATGCTGCTCGAACTTCCCTTTTACCAGGCACGCCGGCGCATCAGGTGCCTCGAACACACGTGTCCACTGGAAGAGGTCTTTCCCGCGTTTCGATCACGACTGCCATGGGACACCAGGTTTCGGTGCACAGTGTGCCCGCTGAGCGCATTGCTTTCACAATGCTAACGTCCTAGACATAGAAGCAGGTTTTCGGATTCTTGTCACTGTGGCATGTTGGGTGTTGGGACCTGGCAACTGGAGGTAGCAGCCGTCCTCGATATGAGAGTCGCCTTTGCGTCCGGTGCTAAACCCTTTAAGCCCCAAGTCCCTAAACCTGCTCCTGGTGCCACTGAGGTGGAGATTTCCATGAGATGGAGACCTGATGTAGTCAGAACCAAGTTGATGCTGGCTAGGTGGGGACGCGACAGCGCCAAAAGGAAGGCAAAAGCTCATGGTGCTGGCAGCACGGTTGGACAAGGGTTGTATTGACATGGCGAGCAGCCCTGCTGTCTTCGCGATTCATGACTTTCGCGAACCGGGGGTCTGTAGCCGTTTTACTCGAAGGGATCGCGCTGAACAGTTGCTCCCCAGCTATGCGTGTCTTTGGTGTAGAGGAAGCACTGTCTAGTATGCCACAGTCTTGAACAATGTAAGTTTGATCAGATGCTTTGATTAGTGGATCCACGATTCTACTTGCGAAGAGTCCCGTGGTACATGGAAAATCTGGACCGAGCTCATCTGGGAGATGAACGCTCGCAGCAAGACTTTTCACTTTGTATGGGGTGGTGAACGCAAATCTTTGAAGGTCTACAATGGTACGCCGGTGGAAGACATCGCGTACGCAGTAAAATGTGTGTACAACTTGCAGATCCAGGAATGCTTGCACTTTCAGGACACCTTTGGTTCTGGTACTGTGCTATCTCATGCCTGTCCAGATGGCACAGAATTTCAAGTTTGTTCGGACACGGCTGCACCCAACCCCATGCGTCCCACAATGATGCCAGCACCCTCAAGGCGGGAACAGTTGTGTCGTGTGTTCTAGCTGAATCTGGCTGCTGTATAAGATGTGAAGTGGTAGAAGGAAGAAGCTCACAGCGAACCCGAAACCCTCACCCGACGCAAAGATGCCACAACGATTACTTGATGAAGTTGGCTTGTGCAGTGAGGCCTTCATCTCAAGCAGCATGTGCAGACGAGCCGAACTTGAGCCATCCCGCGGAAGCAGCGTCCCGATTGCATCAAGATGGGCAGCTAGATGTTTTCCGTGGCAGTGTCTACTGTAGCATGCAGACATGTTTTTTTCTCAACATATTCAATCTGATCAGGGGGCAAGGAAGCAGAAGAGCTGCCCAAAAGGCCACCCATTGCAAAAGCGCCATCTTCAAGATGGCTCCTGCGACGGCTGCTTCCGCAAAATTGATGCTGGACATGGATGTCCCAAGTGTGACTTCCACCTGTGCGATGCATGTGCGGCCATGGACGTGGGGTTTCATGTGCCGGCCTTGCTGACTTTTACCCTGAAGACTTGTGAGAAGGTCGCGCGCGCAAGGCGTGGGCTCTTGCCCCAACTTATCAAGGAGCTAACAGATGAACGGCTGCAGAAAAGGTTGGGCAGGAGCCTGAGATGTGGGAGGCTGCAATTTCTAGGTAGCTCGACAGTCTCGGAGCCGTGGGCACGTGCAGCCAAACTAGCGGCTCTGAGGTCCAGAGTTGGTGCAAGCACTGGTGCGATTTGCCACAGAAGCAGACTTGCACAAGTCAGAGCTTTGTGCTGGGTTGGATGCGGCTGGTGCGCTGGTCATTGAGAGACTGATGAACGTTTGCCTGCGTCAGAAGGTGGCGTGACAATCACGCATGCTCCGTGATGCTCTCTTGTTCTCTTGTTCTGTTGCTGGTGATTTGTCAGAGATTGGCAGTGTGTTGCTTTTGTTGCTTTCACCCGTCGTCAGGCAACAAAGAATCAGAAGAGCTGTCCAAGGGGGCACCCGTTGCAAGAGCGCCGTCTTCAAGCTGACTCCTGCGACGGCTGTTTCTGCCAGCTTGATGTTGGACATGGATGTCCCAAGTGCGACTTCGACTTGTGCGATGCATGTGTTGCCAAGGACGTGGACTTCCACGCGATGGCTTTACTTACGTTTAGCCGCAAGACTTGTGCGAAGGTCGCGCGCGCAAAGGGTGGGCTCTGTCCACAACTCATGAGGGAGCTCACGGATGACCGGCTGCAGAACATGGTGGGCCGGAGACTGAGCAACCGGAGCAATCAATGCCGCCGTGGCTAATCGTGTCGTCCCAGGGAGTTGTTAGAGGGGGTTGCTTGTTCTCTCGTCCCTGACCCCCTCTCCCCCCTGCCACTCACTCCCCGGACATCTCACGACTTTGAAAATTGCAGCTTTCCCCAGGAGGGGTACGTGGGGGTTGGGTAGAGCCAGATATCCTGGTCTGCCTGCTCCAGATGCCTTTGAAATTCAATGTCTAGTAGTCTAGCAACTGCAATTTCTAGGTAGCTCGACAGTCTCGGAGCCGTGGGCACGTGCAGCCAAACTAGCGGCTCTGAGGTCCAGAGTTGGTGCAAGCACTGGTGCGATTTGCCACAGAAGCAGACTTGGACAAGTCAGAGCTTTGTGCTGGGTTGGATGCGGCTGGTGCGCTGGTCATTGAGAGACTGATGAACGTTTGCCTGCGTCAGAAGGTGGCGTGCCAATCACGCATGCTCCGTGATGCTCTCTTGTTCTCTTGTTCTGTTGCTGGTGATTAGTCAGAGATTGGCAGTGTGTTGCTTTTGTTGCTTTCACCCGTCGTCAGGCAACAAAGAATCAGAAGAGCTGTCCAAGGGGGCACCCGTTGCAAGAGCGCCGTCTTCAAGCTGGCTCCTGCGACGGCTGTTTCTGCCAGCTTGATGTTGGACATGGATGTCCCAAGTGCGACTTCGACTTGTGCGATGCATGTGTTGCCAAGGATGTGGACTTCCACGCGATGGCTTTACTTACGTTTAGCCGCAAGACTTGTGCGAAGATTGCCGGCGCGACGCAGAATCCGGATCACGTGGGCAAGCTGCTGGAAGAGCTGGAAAGACCTCATCTTGCCCTTTTTGGTGGGGGCCTTACAGTCTTTTGCAGATGTTGTTGGTGTTTTTGGGGATCTGCTATCGCTGCGTCAGCTTGTGTACACATTAAGGCCCAGAATTTGTGCAAGCTCTTGTGCGCTTTGCCACTGAATCAGATGCTTGCAAGTCAGAGCTTTGCAATGGATTGGGTGCGTCTGGTGGGCTGGTCATTGAGAGACTGATGAACATGAAGACTTGCATGGAGGACTTCTGACAGGGGAGTGCAACCGCTTGCTAGCTCGTGCCGACAGTTTCGGTGCTTCTGCTAAGCGGGTTTGTGTGCTGATATGTTGACGCAAGCATGCGCATGCTGTTGCGAGCTTTTAAGCTGAAAGAATTTTCAGTATCAGTTTGCTCAATCGACCTTAGCGTGTGTGCAGGTACATGTGACCATGTTAGTTGCATTGTGGGCATGTGCTTGGCAGCCTCACCCCCAATGCCTTTTGCTGAGCTTCTGCTTGTAGCCTGCAAGTGGGCAAAGTCACTAGCAAATAATCTGCCAGGACAGAGCTCATCCGCCGCATGACTCGAAAGTGAACCCCGACCAGGTTCACGTGGACTTCTCCAAGGAGTTAGGCAAGGGTGCCTGGACAGTCGTACGTCCGGGGCAGTTTGACGGGCACGCGGTTGCGATCAAGATGGCCCGGAGAAGTGAGAGGGAGCTCAGCAAAGAAATTGCCATTCTTCAGAACTTGAGCCATGACCACGTGGTTCAGTTTTATGGTGCCTGCTCCAAAGACGGCAGGCTCATTGAAGTGCTTGAGTTGTGTGCCCGAGGATCCTTGGAAGGGGTGCTGAAGCAGGAGCCTGCTGCGCAGCGAGTATGGCGAAGGTGCAGAATGGCCGTGGATGTGGCAGCTGGGGTTTGCTACCTTCATGGCCAAAGGGTTTATCATGGTGACCTAAAGCTTGCCAACGTCCTTGTGAGTGAGGATTACACTTGCAAGTTGGCAGACTTCAACTTGTCTCAATCCGTTCCCGAGGGCAGGGATACGTTCGCAGTTCGTGGAGGCACTGTACTTTACATGTCTCCTGAAGTATCCCAAGGGAAGCCTGCCAGGTTCGCATCAGACATTTACAGCTTGGGCTTGTGTCTTTTCGAGATACTGACTTTGCAGAACTATGCGAGTTTGGTGACTGGCATGGGGGGGCACGACCTCCTACGGTGGCTCAGCAAGGGGCAGATGAAAGTCGATCTCGATCGCAAGGACTGGCCTGCAGAATTTATACCTGCGCAGGAGATGGTGAACCAATGCACGGACTATTCCCCGTTGAAGCGGCCCTCTGCTTCTGACATCCTTGTTGCCCTGAAGTCTCTGGACCCATGTGTTCCTGCAGCTCGTACTTCAGCGACTGCTTCAAGTGCCTGCCCTAGCCATGCTCAGCGTCTGGAGATCTCCTCTGGATCTGCGGCCTCTTCATCCACCTGCGCGTCGCTCATGACCTTTCCAGAATCCCAGGCCTTGCTGGCCCGTCCTGGCCGTCCGTCTGAAAATCTGCAGGTACCCGAGCCGCAGCTGCAGGTTGGACAGTTCGCTATGATCATTGATCCCTCACACCCTGGTTCGGGGTGCATTGCGATGCTCAAGCAATGGAACCCTGATTCTGGGAAGTGGCTTGTTCAAGGTGGCCCTCGACAAAAGGCCTGGCTACCACCATGCAGTTTGCAACTTGTGAGGAATTTTCGACTGCCTAGGCTGCGCCCATGTCACTACCAGACCTGCTTGCCTCTGAAGCCGTCGCGGAGACGGCCGCTGGCAGATGGCTCAATGGGACGTTTGGCTGGCCAGTGCAGGATTGAAGAACTCCAGGACTCGGATGGCAAAGACAAGGAGCTACCTGCGATTATGGAGGAGCCAAGTGAAGACGAGCCTGACTCACCCAGGCTCACTTCGAAGGATGATGATGCTGACGACGGCAGCGACGCAACCTCTGAGCTTAGCCATTTCTCCACGCACTCCAAATTCAACACAGCAAGCATGCTGGAGGATTGGTCTGATAATGAATGCCATGATCAGAACCCTGGTTGCATTTGTTTCGGGTGTAGACACTGCAACATATAGTCGCTTCTCCCGACCTCAACTTATTTATGCACCATGCGCTTGCTGTCAAGACTCGATGGAGTGGTTGTTCGCTTGTTGGCACAAAGCTCTTAGTCAAACTTGTCAATGTGCTTCAATTTTGTTTATATGCTGTGTGCAAAGAGTTCGTGCTGTGATATGGCCAGCTGAGGAAGATCTCCAAAAGCAAGGGTCTTGACATGGATGCAGCGTGCGACGCCCCAGGCTTTCAGTATTGCTTCGACTTCCCATACCACCATGGCATAAAGCATGGTGAGGTCTCTTTCTTTGATATTCGGGATGTCGCACTTGCACAGATAACTGATTTTCGTCACGGAGATCGTTTGGAGCGCGATGGGCGGTACTTCACGGTCATTGGAGTGAAGCTGAATGAAGAGGGCAGACCGCGAATGTACACCCAAGCGGACGAAGATGCCGGAGCAGCTTTCCATGAAGGTGACTTTTCACAATTTCGCAAGGTGGGCACTTTGAAAGTGACTCCAGCAGAGGCAAGGTCGACCGCCTCATCTGAGCAGTACTTGCTCAGTCAGATGGACCGGATGCTTACAAGACTTGTTCAGAAACGCAGGCTGGACTTGTCTGGTCGCAAGAAGGTCGCAGAGATGAGGCAGCTGCTAAAACGAAACGGCTCTGGAGAGCACAGCAGTACAAGTAATCCTCCCTCTGGCCACCTCGAATTGCAGCCTGATTTCCCTGTCAAGCTGCAGCGGAACAAAAGAGTGCCATGCTTGGATTATGATGGAGAATTTTGTTGTCCGCTAGGCTTCGGTTGCATTCCTGCCAAGTTGTCAAGTTGTCAAGTTGTTGGCGGTTCTTACCTGGTCTTGTTGTCCCGAGGTGGTGGTTTGCGACGTCCGGCCAGATGTGTGTCAGCGCTTTGGCTACTCTCATGGGGACTGGGTATTGTATGACTCTGACTCGGGAGCGAAGTGGCTCGTGGTGATCGGTGTGTGCGACACCGAAGGGAAGCCTGCTTTGCTGCTGTGGCGTGACGGGGCGTCAGGTGCGGGCATTCTGGATCCCTTGCCAGCAGACATGAAGGTCCTGAAGCGAATTGACCCTCAAGAGGTTCGCCGTCACTTGGGATCATCCAGTCCCCCGTCAGCCAGCAACTTTACTTTCAAGTTCATGGCTGATCAGGATGCCCCAGTCGTTCGGAAGTTCGATGCATCAGCTCAAGCTTGCTCAGCCTTTGGCTTCCAGTTTGGAGATATCGTAGAGGACAAGAAGGGGAAGGTGTACACCATCATTGGTGTCGGTCGGCCAGCAGCAGGTCGCCAGTGGCGCAAGTTGGATCGTACTCGCCTGTGGGCTCTTCAATCTGGTGGCAATGGAGCGCAGCCCCTCAGAGTTGACTGTCATGTCCGCTTTGTCAGACGGGGTCCAGAACCAAGAGAACTTGGCCCGCTTGGATCTTTGGATTGCACCTTCCCCTATCCAGTTCGCACGCGCTCCCATCTTCAGAGAGCCTGCATGTTCGACATCCGACCCGAGGTGTGCTTCAAGCTTACCAATGTGCCAGGCCTCCAGCACGGCGCGCAAGTTCAAGACCGAAATGGGAGAACATTCTCAGTTGTCGGCGCAGCTTATCATCGTGGTCGTCCACAGGTCTGGTTTCAACGCGAAGGCGAGGTCGGAGCAACCGTGTTCCAGAAGCCTTCCAGCGTGCGCAGCTTGACGATTGTGGGTGGAATTGCATCTCTGCTGCCAAGTGCCGCAGATGTGCCAACCATTTCAATGGAGAGCACCTTGGACTGGGACAAGGCATGTGACAGCGATGAAGAGGAGCCAATTGCAGACATCAAGGGGTTGCTGGGTTCAGACGTCAGCACAACAAAGTTCATGAAGGCGTTGGAAAGGGCAGTAAAACACAAAAGGCGCAGACCAGAAAGGGAGCCGTTGGAGAAGCGCTTGCGCTCAGCCACCCTGAACAGGGAAGACAGTGTCAAGCGCCTCGAACACGGTGGCATTAAACCGGGTGATCGGGTCAGATCCTCCTCAGTTGGCAAGACAAGCTGCATTGGCATTGTCAAACACATTGAAGGGGGTGTCTTTCGAGTTGATTCGCTAGAAGAATCAGGGCAGCGGGTGCGTACATGGCATGCAAAGCTTGAAGAGCTACAGAAAGATGAGGAAGCCAACCTTTTGAGGCCAGGCACCCTCGTGAAGCTCCGCCGAACGGTGCAGGAGCCAAGGTTCGGATGGGGAGGTCTTTCCCATGACGACGTGATCGGAGTCATTCAGAAGGTGGAGAAGTGCGTTGTGTCCGTGAATGTGGGTTACAGCAGCAGGTGGCATGGAACGCTGGACGAGTTTCAGGTATTCAAGCCCTCTGACAGCTTGCAGGTGGGCTCTCACATCCGGCTCAAAGACCCTGACCGCGTACCTAGATATGGATGGGGGGAGCACGAAATGCACGAAGCCGTTGGCGTTGTAGCCAAGATTGAGGAGGAGGAGATAAAGGTGAACTTTCCGGATGCGGACGACTGGAAGTCTGAGGCTGAGTTCGATACAGTACACAAAGACATACAAAGACCAAGTCGATGATGACTGCCGGTTGTTGCGTTCCATTGTTCCAAAGTGCTTCTTGAGCTTGTTGCAGTGAGCTTTTCTAGATGTAGGGTGAGCTTTGGAGTCTTAGAAAGACAGCTTGGCGTGGCGAGTGCTTCGTGCATGTTGAATGCATAGGCACCACAAGTTAGAACCCTTGCCTGATGCTGTCCGATTGAGGTGCAAAGTTGATGAGATCCAGGTGGATCTCGCAGCCAACAGGATTCGACCGGGGCAAATTGTGCGAGTGCGGCAGGAGATCTTGATCCCGAAGTTTGAGTGGGGCGGTGTCAACCATTCCTCATTTGGAATTGTGGAATCCGTCACCCACGATGGAATCGCAGTCGTCGACTTCCCCAGCTGCTGCCGTTGGCATGGCCTCGTTTCAGAGCTTGAAGTTGAAGCAGAGTTCCCACAGCCTTTGAGGAGAAAACGGGTAGCGCTAGTCATTGGGAATCACACCTTCAAAGACAAGAAAGCCTATCCTGCCCTGGATGGTGTCTTGAACGATGCCCGCGCGACCGAAAAGAAGTTGATCGACCTGCGTTTCGATTATGTATTACCTGTGATGAACATGTGCCGCAGAGATCTAGACTCCTTCTTGCGACAACTTGAGCAACAAGTGGTCGACGGCAGCATAGTCCTCATTTACTTCGCAGGTCACGGAGAAGAGGATCAGCAGAGCGTGGTACTTCCTGGCCATGATTCAGACAGCAGAGATCGTGATTCCAAAATCGACACTGACCTAATCTTCAATGCTGTGGCGCAGTGGTCTTCCAAGGACTTGTTTGTTTGCTTCGTTCTAGACTGCTGCCGCTTGAAGTCGGATGATTGCGGCTCATCCAGCAGACTCACTGCCCAAGCGCCGATCCCCGAAGACATCGGTTGGAACCAGTTCTACTGGGTTCATTCTTGCCAAAAGTTCAAGGCTGCTTTTGAGAAGGAGCATGGAGACTTCAGCAGATGCTTCCTGCAATTTCTGGGGGAAGACCTGTCTGTGCAGCAACTCTTTGAACAAGTCACCCAACAGCTTGAAAAGCATGGCAGGCGACAGCGGCCTCAGATCTTGCAAGAAGGGCATGAAGCCTCGCGCATCAAACTGGCATCTGCCAACAACATCTACCGCCCATCTTCCTTGGCTGCCCAGGGTGTAATGACACCAGGATCATCCGATGGCTCCGTTGGGTCAGGGTCAGAGCACGTCATGGACAGGGTGGAGCGTTTGAAGGATTCCATCCAAGAAGGAAATCAACGAGACATCATTGACCACTTGCACGATGTTCGGGAGCTTCTGGGCTCCAAGTTGTTTGAAGCAGTGGAAAACGCAGTCCTTCAAGGGGATGATCCGCTTATGTATGCAGATGGTTTGGGCCAATGGGAGCTGCAGATGTTCAGAACCATTTTCACTGCTCCTGACATCCAGCCTGCTCATGGCCCCTTGTCTCAGCAGCCTCGGGGAGTTCCACAGCAACATGGGCGCGTGAAGTGCAGCGTCCCTGATTGCGTGCTGCGCCTGTCGCAGGTGGTGCGAAATTTCATCCCGGGAACTGCCGACAGAGGGTGCAAGGCGATGAAAGGAGTTCTGATGGACATGGAGCAAGCACTGAGTCCAAGACTCTTGTTGGCCATCAAAAGCGCACTATGCCACCACTGGATAGCCAAGTGGAGGCAACCGAAGCAAGTGCAACACCAAGTTCTGCATGCCGATAGCTTGGTTGCAGACGCCGGGCCGACAGTGCCAGAGGGGGCCTTTGATGACATGGAGTGCTGGGTCGGCCAAAAGTTGTTGCCTGACCTGTTTGACGACAGCTACTGTGCCAATCTTGCTTTCATCCTGAAGCTTGTTCAAGAAAAGAACCCCTCGGCCACACGGCAGGTCGCCCTAGCCCAGGCAGTATGGCAGGATCCAGTCCTGGCTTTGAGCAAATGCTTCGTGTCACTGATGACCGACATTTTCACTGGAAAGTGTCAAGTCATGGAGGATACAGCGTCCCAGCGTGGATTGGCTTTCGCTGAGGCGGAGATCTTTCAGAATATTTTGGAGTTCAGCGACAAGAACAAGGAGTCTTTGCTGAAGTTCATACCAGTTCCAGAATGTGTGCATCGGCTGGGTACTTTGGTCTCGGAGCCTTTGCTGGCCTTGTGGCATTCTCAACTTGAAGGCTGCTCGGGACGTTAAGCAAGGGTGAACACAAACAGGCTGTCGGAAAGACAGTTATCTGAGGGTTCACGTGCCTAAGCATGCTATCAGGCGGTGTGGTGAGCAACAACGTGGCGGAACTCCTGTCCATTTGCCAGCGGTTCGGCTGGAACTTGCCTCTCGACATGATCGTCAGTGGTTGCACGGACAAGGACCTGCATGAGGGCCATGCCCGTTGCACACACCGGCGTTGAAGGTGTAGCCGTATGTGACATGATATACTTGTACTACTTATCACGAGTCATAGTTGCAGTTCCAACAATCTCATAATGCAGCACTAGCCTATGTTCTGCCAGGACGTGCTCATGCAAGACTTAGACCAGGCTGAGAGTCACCTCGTTTCGTTCATAGTAAGCCTACTCGAAATTCAATGACTACAGGAAGGTCCCTTATGGACCGCGGGGTTCTCTCGTGGGGCACAGAACAGCATGTAGGGCTTATCTTTCATGGAAGTGGGTGCTGGGTAGTAGGATTAGAGGTCCTTTCGAGGGGTCCTTCCTAGAATTCCTGTCCTAGAATTCCTGAATTCAAGCGGCTGACGTGCGTGCCCTGCCACCTGCGCAGAGACACGTGCCGGACCTCAAAAGACGGCCACCTTGTGGGTGCCGCTGATCGTTGCTGCGTTTCGACTTGCATGTGCAGCATCTTGCCGAGAAATGCTGGAACCTCCTCTCTCTGTTGAGTGCAGTTCGCTTGCAGCTTGTTGAGCGTTGTTTGGCCTGTGCTGGCTTTGTCTCAACTCATCATGCCAGCCTGGGTCGTTGGCGTGGCTCAAGTTGATTTGCCCACTGTTGCTATTCGCATTTTCCCAGTCCCAGAGACCCTGCACAAAGCATCGATACAGCAACTCCCGGGAGCTTCGCATTGGCAGTTTGAAAGAACTGACAAAAGCCTACCCTGCTCGGAAGCAGAATGGCATGGATCTTGCATTGGCTGACTTGATGATCCCTCCACAGCACTAGGCACAGCTGATTGAGATCTTGCAAAAATGCATGCTCTCTAGCCACTACTCCTGTACTCCTACCCAGGTTATGCTCACCATCTGCTTATACGCCGTGCGGATGTGCTGAGTCCAAGTGTACTGACGGATTGGGGGATTGATGAGGCGATCGCATTCTTCGGCATTGGTATCTTTTTGAGCATCAAGATATTTGACAAGTGTTGCAAGAGTTTGCCCTTCAAGGAGGCACTCAAATTTTGCAGGATTCGCTCAGAGGTAGAGCGTCACCTTGTCAAGGTGAATGTCCCTCGTTCGACTCGAGTTACCCGCTTCAAGTAGATACAAGAGTTGTGTTCGAGTAGGAAGACCCTAAACTTGTGGACCTCGCGGAAGGTATTTCAAGGAACCATACACAAGGTACATATAGGGGTGATATACGGCAAAAAGATTAAGGGTCTAGGGGTCCCTCCGCAGACCCCTTTGAAGTGTTTGAATGCACTGATGCCTTCATCCTGTCATGTGTAGGCCTACCTTAAAGATGATGCATCTCAGGAGGAAGCCCCGGAAGACACGGAGGTCTTGATCTTTGAGGCGGGCACTGAAGCGACTCTTGCTGAATGCAGCAGATTCCAGCTGGCATGCAGCCAAGGATGTCGATCTGTAGCTGATGAGCACTTCCAGAGGCGCGCCAGTGAAGCAGGTTGCTGGGAATGACCGATGCTGCAGGAAAGCTGTTAGTGGTGCAAACTGGACAAACATTATCGTTGAGTGTGGCACTCACTTTGCGCGCGTTGGCCTCGTACACTGTGCTTCACACTTGTGACAGTCATGACATACCAGTAGCTGCTTGGGCCTTTCCTTTACCTCGTCCTTTGTAATTCTTCCTGTACCTTTGTAGCCTCTGAAGCCTCTACCTTGACCTTTCCAGTTACCTCCTCGACCTTTGGCAAGAAACATTCCTTTACCTTTTCCTTCGCATGTATACCTTTGAAACCTCCTGTGCCTGAGTCCTTTCCACCTTTCTTACCTTTGCAGGCGTCCAGCTTCACGCCACACTGGAACCACCTCGACTTTGAAGGTGCTTTGACCGCAGTGAAAGCAGCGTAGCTCTTCCTTCCTTCCTGCCTTCCTTCCATCCAGAGTCTCTCTCGCATTCTTTCTCTCCTTTCTCTCTGCCTGAACTCCAAACCCGATACTCCCGAACCCTGAACTCTAAGCCCTAAACTGAACTCCGGAGAACGACAGAGAAGGACCAGCAGCGGGATGCACACAACTCTTGCACTCTCGCCATCTTTCCGTTGCCTGCTGAGGCCCGTTACCTATTTGCACTAAAAATGTCTCTATTCCCTACCATCTGCCAGGTGTTCTGAAGCACTGGAACATGAGGGTCTGCGCCTCGCCTTTGCCGACCCTGCATGTTGTCTCGCAAACCTCACGTAAGCAGTTTAACAAAATCGGAGCGCTGCCTCCCAAACCTTTCGATAGGACCTGTCTTCATCTTCAAGCCCTTCGTCTGCTTCGACCAGATGTCGATGATGCAGGCTTGCGGGGTTTCGTCACGTCCAAACTTTGCCACGCTCACTTCAGCCTACCTTGTCCTTCCCAAGTTCTTTTTCAATCCATGATGTTGAGCAGTTCGCTTGTGTAGGCCTGGCTCTTCGCTGCGCAGATTCGGTCGAAGGCGGGAGCGGGCAGGGCAGACTCGTAATCTGTGCGTGCGTGCGTGTGCGCATGTAGTCTGAGTTATGGCCACGTCCAAACCTGGCCAAAAGCACAAGCCCTGCCGCTGGAAAGCCCCTTCTGGTGTTCACAGTGATTGCTCTGAGGGGTTGTGTCGCGAAGCCTTGGGCTTCCGCCATCCCCCCCCAGGGAACAACTTTTTATGTTTTGTCGAGTGGGATTGACTCATCATCAGCACGCCTGAAGCCAAGTGTGCGAGCAATGACTCGCACGGAATCCAGAAGCTCGTTTCCTGCACCCGGAAGTGTTTGATTTGTTCTCTCTGCATGGGCTGAAGTGGCTTGGCCACTGTCATGAATTGATTGAGGTTCAACACATTATCTCAGAACGTGCTCGGGCCGTCTTGGGCCCTCAGAGCTCGCGTCAGTTTTGGAGGATTGCGTGAGCGCCGTTTATGTCGTGGCTTCGTGCTGCAGAGTTCTCCATGTGACTGCTGTGCTGCCTTTGTCAGACGGGTCGCAAATCGGATGTTGTGACACAGCCCCAGGCCCGCGCTAACTTGAAATTGAATTGCTACATGATTTCTGCAGGGCATATGAGCAGTGCATAGCAGTGCCGTCTGGACAGTGCTTCCTCAGTTATGCAGGGATTTGGTGACACATGCGACAACGCCAGAACGGTCGCAACACGAACAATGTCAGTTTGGATCCTGCGAGACATGTCTTTGCATCCTGCTCCCAGTTTTTGGATTCTCGGAAAGGGGTGGCGAGGTATCCAAGTAATACTACTTTATAGATTCGCAGTAAGGAAAAGAAGCAAGCGGTCGGCTCCAGACACCGGAACAAGATTTGTGCGTTTTGGACCTCGTAGTAGCACTAAGAGCAGAATTCGGAGCAAGCGCCTGTCTGATGAGGCCCGCTCCGCTGCAGTGTTGGTGGCGGACGCTGCAGCCCAGGTGAAGCAATGTGGGAGTTTACGAAAGTAGGGGACCCCTAATTTAGTCTAGTAGGATTCCCTTATATAAGGGCGCCAATATGTGACCCCCTGATTTCGGAAACTCCCATGTCCAGCCACACAGTCCCTGTCGCATGCGATGGGTTTCATCAACGTTTGCAGGCTGCGCAGCAGCTTTGGCTTCTTTGGCAGTGCGATGGCGCAAAAGGAACCTATTTGGAAACCCTAAACACTAAACCCTAATGACATGACGACCACCTTTCTCGCTCCCTCTCTCTCTTGCGTGCATGTTTCGCGTTGTGCTTTCCTATCAGAAGCAAATAATTTCCAACAACACGTGGGCAAAACAACAAGTACCATCCACGCATCGCGCCGGAAGATGATCCCATAGGCCCATAGTTCAACGTCCAGCTGCCAAATCCTTGACAGCAGACGTCTTGAGCTCTTGGGTACCATGTCAATGTGGCAGAGCCATACGGTATAAGGTGCCAAGTAAAAGGTATCAAGTACAAGGTACCAAGTACAAGGTATCAAATATACGGTATGATCAAAGTATCAAGCATAAGGTATCAAGTATAAGGTACAAGGGAAGAAGCAGCTACGGCCACCTCCTCCCAGCGCATGGCTGCGCACACGCCGCATGATGGCGGGCCCACGCTTGGCATCTCCAGAGCAGGCTCTTAGAACCATCGCGAGTTCTTTGGGGACGCAACTAGGAAATACTAGGAAAGACACCAAACCGTGAACTCCATCACATTCCGCCTTAAACCCGCGCTCCCTACACTTTTCTTCTGGGTTTAGGGTTTCGGTTTAGGGTTCAGGGTCCCCAGTTTGTCCCCAATGCAGGCAGACAAGTCCATTCCACGAAGTTCAGATACGTGCTGGGATTGGCAGAAGCAATTTCAACGCTGGCCACCAGTCTTTTGGGGTTTAGGGTTTAGGGTTTAAGGCCCCTTGCGAATCCCGGATGAAAACTTGGAGCATTGACAGCCGCAGATCGTAATCAGCCGTTTCAACATGCCCAGTGCCAGACCAAACCCTAAACCCTAAACCCTAAACCTAAACCCTAAACCCTAAACCCTAAACCCTAAACCCTAAACCCTAAACCCTAAACCCTAAACCCTAAACCCCAAACTCTTTCTGCAGGTAGTCCACGAAGTGCACTACCACAACAAAACGGCAACCGGTGAACACACGAGAAAACTTACCGTTAATCTAAACCCTAAACCCTAAACCCTAAACCCTAAACCCTAAACCCTAAACCCTAAACCCTAAACCCTAAACCCAATACCCTGAACCCTAAACCCCAAACCCTGAGCCCTAAACCCTAAACCCTGAACCCTGAACCCTGAATTCTAAACTTTACACCTTTCAACCCTGAAGCCCAAGCTTAAACCCTAAATCCTCAACCCTCAACCCTCAATCCTCAACCCTCAACCCTAAACCCTAAACCCTAAACCCTAAACCCTAAACCCTAAACCCTAAACCCTAAACCCTAAACCCTAAACCCCTACTCCCTTTGCGGCATCCCAGAGGCCGCCTTCAAAGCGTCTTCAACCCACTGATCCCCACTTGCATGGATCATCCCCACAGTCAGGCGGAACAGGTGCCTCCAGGGTTTAGGGTTTAGGGTTTAGGGTTTAGGGTTTAGGGTTTGGGCGGGGAGGGGCTTCCAGCAATTTGGGGCTTCAATTCCCTTTTTGTGGAGGCTTCTTGATGGGTTTGGGGATCTTGCTGCCGGCTTGTGGGCTTAAGGGTTCAGGCTGAAGCTTCTAAGTTCCCGTTGCCTGTCAGCCTGTC